GCTGACTCCAATAGGGCCTGTTGCGATCCTGGCTCAGCTCTAAAGCACCAAACATCCAAAGGACATTTTAACTCTTTTGGGATTTCTAGTGATTAAAAAACCCCATAGACTTATGTCAAAGCCAAAGATTCAATCATTACAAAAATGTATTAGATGGAAAGCAAAGGTCTATCATAACTGGGCTCCCTGCAAGACTCTCAATTATTCATCATTATATTTTTATTGGGAAACAGTATTTATTAAGCACCTACTGTGTGCTTGGCACTGTTGTGGGTCTTGAGAATGCAGCAGGAACTGAGACAGACAGGGCTGACCTGCATGAGTTATAGTGTGAAGACAGAGACAGCCAGCAGGGCCACTGTGTTGGTCAGCTGTAGCTGTGTAACAAAGCAATATTGGTGCTCAGGTACATTTGCTATCTCACAGTTCTTGTGAGTTGGGGATCTGGGTAGGCTCATCTTCACCCTCCATGGGTTTCTGACAAGGTGGGCATTGAAGTGCTGAGACTCCCCTGGGGAAGGAGCCACTTCCCAGCTCCCCCAAGCTGCTGGCTCCCTCCCTGTGGCTGCAGGGCTGGGCCCTAGCTTGGGGCTGGCTCAACTCCTAGAGGCTGCACACAGTCCCCTGCCATGCCAGCTTCTCCAAACCACTGCCATGTACTTCATCAAGCACAAAAGGGGGAGGGGTCTCCAGTTCCTATCAGCTGGGAAGAAACTTGTACAGCACAGTTTGATCTCTGGAGTGACGTCCTCACTTTTCCAGTATTTATGGTGAGATACAAGTCAAGGTTCTGCTCACTCTCCAGTGGAAGAACAACACGGTCCATCCACACACTGGAATATCATTCAGTCATGAAAAGAAATGAGGCTCTGACACAGGCTACAAGATGGAGGACCTTGAGGACAACACACTCAGTGTGAGAAGCCAATCACAGAAAGACACACAGTATGAGACTCCATTTAGAAGAAACGTCCAGACCAGGCAGATCCACAGACATGGGACATGGACTCGTGGTGGCCCAGGTCTGGGGAGGAGATGGGAAATGACTGGTGATGGAATGTTCTGAAATTAGATTGATGTGGTTGGCTCGGTGCCTGTGGCTCAAGCGGCTAAGGCGCCAGCCACATACACCTAAGGTGGCGGGTTCGAATCCCCAGCCCGGGCCCGCCAAACAACAATGATGGCTGCAACCAAAAAATGGCCAGGCGTTGTGGCGGGTGCCTGTAGTCCCAGCTACTTGGGAGGCTGAGGCAGGAGACTCGCTTGAGCCCAGGAGTTGGAGGTTGCTGTGAGCGTGATGCCATGGCACTCTACCCAGGGGGATAGCTTGAGGCTCCGTCTCAAAAAAAAAAAAAATAGATTGATGTGGTTGTTGTACAACTCTGAAGATACTAAAACTCACCAAATTGTATGCTTTTTTTCTTTCTAAAGACCCAGTCTCAAGCTGTTGCCCTGGGTAGAGTAACGTGGCATCATAGCTCACAGCAACCTCCAAGTCTTAGGCTCAAGTGATCCTCTTGTCTTAGTTTTTCTATTTGTAGTAGAGATGGGGTCTCACTTTTGCTCAGGCTGGTCTCAAACTCATGAATTCAAGCAATCTACCTGCCTTGGCCTCCCAGAGTGCTAGGATCAAATTGTATGCTTTTATTTTTTTTTTTTTATTTTATGACAGAGTCACTATGTTGCCCTCCGTAGATTCCTATGGTATCATACCTCACAACAACCTCAAACTCCTGGGCTCAAGTGATTCTCTGGTCTCAGCCTCCCAAGCAGCTGGGACTACAGGCACCCACCACACACCTGGCTATTTTTAGAGACAGAGTCTCACTCTTGCTCAGGCTGGTCTCAAACTCCTAAGCTCAAGCAATCTGCCCAGCTTGGCCTCCCAAAGTACTAGGATTACAGGTGTGAGACACTGCACTCAGCCAAACTGTGCACTTTTAATGTATACATTTTTTTAGGATGAGTGAATTTTATGTGGTTAGTAAATTTTTCTCAGTAGGAACAATATTGCAAAAATCACTTCACAGAGGGTGGCGCTTAATGCGTCTTTTGCACTGAATTTGACAGATAATTAGCTCTTGGAGAAGCAACACTCTACCTCCTTACCCCCCCTCAAGCCCCTGGTGATCCATCACCACCCTGAAGGGTACCAGCCCCATGAATTATGACCTGCATGCTGGTGTGTAAATTCCCATCATTCCCCCTCAGTCTTCTGCTGAGTGGCTGAGACCCACATCCTTGGAGACAGCTGTGGGATGGCACTCTCTAGGCAAATCTGTAGGGCGTGCCAGACTGGGGTTATGTGTGGCTTAAATCTCTGAGCTTTGATCTGGATGCCAGGTTAGGGAGCCTCCTGGAATGTGACCTGCTGTGTCCCTGTGGCCCCCTCCACCCCAGACAGAGAGACTCACTCCATACAGATGGCTCCTCTTTCAGCCTCAAGCTGGGGAAACTGCATCGCTTCTGAGGACTCTATAGCATAGAACAAAAGAAGTCGGGGCTGAGCTGAGAAAAGGTTTTAAAATTTGGTATGGAGGCTCGGCGCCTATAGCTCAACCGGCTAAGGCGCCAGCCACGTACACCCAAGGTGGTGGGTTCGAATCCCCAGCCCGGACCCGCCAAACAACAATGATGGCTGCAACCAAAAAATAGCCGGGCGTTGTGGCAGGCGCCTGTGGTCCCAGCTACTTGGGAGGCGGAGGCAAGAGACTCGCTTGAGCCCAGAAGTTGGAGGTTGCTGTGAGCTGTAATGCCATGGCACTCTACCCAGGGGAAAGCTTGAGGCTCTGTCTCAAAAAAAAAAAAAAAATTTGGTATGGAAAAGGGAGAGAAAGGAATAAAAAGAAAAGGAGAGAGAGGAAGGGAGCACAGGGACAGAGGATGGGCACCCAGGAAGATGAGATGGGATGGAAGATGGTGGAGAAACCATGAGACTCATCCCAGGGTGTGTTTGAGGCCCTTCCTTCCTACAAGAGGCATGGCAGACCCCACATTTGGTTCTTGGGTCTCTCTCTATGGACACACACCCTACCTCCATAAAATTGATGTCTTGCTTAGAACAGAGGCCTCCCCTGTCAGACTGGGGTCTCCCTGAGGATCGTGCCCTGTCTCCACCCTCAGTCTCTGCTCTGTCCAGAAGGAGCCCCTCCACCCTCTTCCCTGGCTGGCCTGGGCCCTCCAAGCCCTGCCCCTGCCTATCTATTTTGGGCCCACATCTGCCTGCCTGGGTCTGGCGTGGGCCTCCCTAAAGATGGATTTCTTAAAATAGCTGTTGCAGCAGTTTTCCCTGCAGCAGTGGGCACCAAGGAGCCATGGACAGGCCAGGCTGGCCAGGGTGTAATTAATACCAGCTACTCCCAGCAGGGCTGGGGGATCTTGGGGGCTGTGACCTACTTGATGGAGGGTCTAAGGACACATTTGGGCACCAAATCTGATGTCAGTGCTTCCATGTGCTGGCAGCGTCACCTAAGGTGGACACATCCTGCTTCCATCAAGTAGAGGTCTTGCTTAGGACAGAGGCCTCCCCAAGGGTGGGGGGCTGTGCCTGCCGGGAGCCTGGTCCTATCACTGTCATTGTATTTAGAGGGGAAACTGAGGCAGTGGGCAGTCAGCAGATCCCTAAGGCCACACACCCTAACCTGGAGGAGCCAGCCTCCCCTTGTGTGAGCCTGGTATACAAATGGAGCTCCATTAATGACCTCTCCAACCTCCCCTATGACCCTGCAGGCTGGGGACTCAGCAAGTGCTTAATAAGCTCTTCAAGTGCTGCTACTGATGTAGCAGGACAGGGCCAAGGGAGGTGGGTGGGAGAAGTTGGGCCCAGGGCCCAGCATAACTGAAGGCATCCACTTGTGATTCAGGCACTCAGCAAGCATAATTGAGCACCTACTAAATGCCAGATGCTGGGAACGTTCAATGTGCACCTGACAGTCCATTGAGGGGCTCAGAGCCCAGTAGGGTGAGACCTAAGTCACACAAAAGATGAATCGGACAGGGAGGCTCCGGGTCCTTCATCCACAGCAGGTAAGGCCAGACAGGCAGCTCACTCCAGGTTTATTTCATGGTTGATATGGACAAGACACCCTTCATTCCACAAACTGAGCCTTTTATCTGCTAGGCAAGAGGGAGCATCCTCCGAGGACTCCACTGATGTCAGAGCTTATGCCCTATAGGTGTTACTGGGGGCACTGAGAAGTTTGAGAGCTGCATATGGGCCTCAAGTCCTGGGGGCTCAGGTCTCCTCTCTCAGATTGGAAGGTTCCCCAGGATCTTCCCTCTCATATTGGGATTTCTCAGACCTCCCTCCGATTCACAGATCCTCAGAGCATCAGGATTGGCCTCCCTCCCTGGCCGGTCACTCTGCCCTCAGATAGATACAAACTATATCTATTTTTTTTTTTTTTTTGAGACAGAGCCTCAAGCTGTCTCCCTGGGTAGAGTGGGGTGGCTTCACAGCTCACAGCAACCTCCAACTCCTGGGCTCAAGCGAGTCTCCTGCCTCCACCTCCCAAGTAGCTGGGACCACAGGAGCCCACCACAACACCCGACTATTTTTTGGTTGCAGCCGTCATTGTTGTTTGGCAGGTCTGGGCTGGATTCGAACCCGCCACCTTAGGTGTATGTGGCTGGCGCCTTAGCTACTTAAGCCACAGGCACTGAGCCGACAAACTATATCTAAAGGCGGAGAAGTGGTTCTCCTTATTTCTTGGATGCCAGAGCATTTGGCAAAGTCTTAGAAGTAGAAATAATCGCAGGCGTCCCATTTCATGACCAGCTGTAGACCCCAAAAGTAGAAAAAATTCTCCAGGAAAATAAAAAATGGAAAAGAAAACTCTCCAGTCTAAAATACACCTGCTACAGGATTATTGGCACATGATTTGTGGTTCTCAGATCATGGACTTAGACAGGGCCCTGTCTCCTATGGTAGGGAGCTTGGTGACAGTCTTGGCAGTTCCCACAAGGGTCAGGGAAGGAGGGTTGGCACCCTTTCCCCAGGCTCAGTCCTCATCCTCACTGGCATAGATGCGGGATTCCCAGCGTTCTGCCATGGCGTTCTTGTGGCGTGTCACCCGTGTGGCTTCCAAGATCTGCAGAAGAGGACGTATGAAGCCCCCCACATTAGGGTTCTAATTACTTCTTCCACTCATCTCCTCTCACTGCCATTTCATAGGCTAAGAACAGGGGTAAAGTAGTTCCATCCCCTTCTCAGTTTCAGATCCTCTTGTCTTAATAATGTGATCAAGGAACAATTCATGCTGAGTTTCATGGCAAGGAAAATGCCTAGGTCTGGCATTTTGGATTCAGCACAAGGAGTCACAAGTGTCCTCCATAAATTAACTGAGGTAGCTAGGCTTTCTTTCTTTTTTTTTTTTTTTCTTTTTGTAGAGACAGAGTCTCACTTTATCACCCTCGGTAGAGTGCTGTGGCGTCACACAGCTCACAGCAACCTCTAACTCCTGGGCTTAGGTGATTCTCTTGCCTCAGCCTTCCGAGTAGCTGGGACTACAGGCGCCCGCCACAATGCCCCGGCTATTTTTTGTTGCAGTTTGGCCAGGCCGGGTTCAAACCCACCACCCTTGGTATATGGGGCCAGCATCCTACCCACAGGCGCTACCCGGTAGCTAGGCTTTCTATACACCCTCAGATGCATGCCTCTCTCAATGAAAGTGACTTTTTAGGGCAAATCTGCTCAAAAACTTTCCTCATCTGGTAAAGAGGTGGCATGTGAATCTTTTCTCTAATCCATGCCTATGGCAGGTATCACAAGCAGTTGACAGCAAAATCCACCTCAGGCAGACACTACCAGTTCAGAAGATACCAGTACAGTTCCTACACTTAGGAGAGAGAAACTTTCAACTGCTTCCCCCTCGTCCTTGCAGGGAGCCCAGACCAGGAGGGAGAAACCGGTGTTCTCACCCCCAGGAGCATACTTACCTCTGAGTTGATGCCGTCCGAGGGGTTGATCCCAGCATACTGCAGGGAAGGAATGTGAGTCAGTTGGGGATTTCCTGGCCCACCCAGGACTCCACTTGAGGCAGAAGGGAAGGCATTCCCTGCCCACAGAATTGCAATAAATGTCCCACAATCACTCCATACTCAAGGCCACCCACTATGCTGTTCCCTCATGCTGTTCTTTTCACCCCAGCCTCTGCCCAACATTTGTAATGATTTTATTTCACTTATAACAAAGACAGCAATATTTGTGGCACTCTTAACATGTCTCTGAGTGCTTGACACACATACATGATCCCATTTCATCCTCTCACAAAGGATCAGAGGGGATCCTATTTTACAGAGGAGAAGACTCAGGGCCAGAGAGGGGCAGCAGTTTGCCCAGGGTCACACAGCCAACAAGTGGCAAGGCTGAGTCTTGAACCCAGTCACTGGTCCAAGTCCAGCCACTATACCAGGTCAGGCTGTGAGCAACAGGTAAGTGAGGTTGGGGTATGTGTCAATCTCTGTTGTGTCTAGGAGGAGCCTTGGGGGAAGGGGCTATGGCTTCATAGTTATCTATGTGGGGTCTGGAGTCAAGCCTGGGTTCATAAGCTGTGTGAATCTGGGCATGTAAGAGCACCAGGGTGCTAAAGCTGTGGTTCCTGCAAAACCCTGGACCATGCATGGCACGTCATACATGTAGTGTGGATAATGACAAAAAATAATGAAAAAAATAATAAAAACATCCAAATGATGATGATGATGATGATAGATTACCACTGTTATCCTCCTCTGATCCTAGAGACATCCTCACAATGAGGGAAAAACACCCCTCTACAGGTGGCTTTTCGGAGCAGAAGCCCAGAGGCAAGAAGTCATCCAGTTTATCACCTTATGCCTCACATGTGGGGGAGACTGTGGCATAGTCACAAGTGGAGCAGTGAGGGAGACAGTGCTTTAGCTCAGGTAAGGCATGAATAACCCTGGCCCTAACTGGGGGCTATCAGACCTCAGCCTGGCCTCTGAGGGGGATGGGCGCCAGACTCACCCATTGCTCCTTCTTAATTCTCTGCACAGGAGCCCTGTCCACTGGATCTCCTGCCATCCACACCAGGCCAGAGTGCAGTTGGATGGGGGTGAATAAGGGTGACTCAGACACTGAGTAGCTGCCCATGATGCCTGTGGGAGGAGGAGGAGAGGGCATTGGGGAGGGGAGAACCTAGTTTAGACCCCACATCAGGTCATAGAGTCTCTGACCAAGAGACTAGAGAGTTAAGAAGACAGGTGAAGGGACAGACAGAGCAGAGTTTGGGAAAACTTTAGGCAGATTTGCCAAAATAGCCAGTTAGGAGAAACCATGGATGGACAGAGGGCGACCGTGCAAGGTGAAAAACATTAAAAGTGACTTGAGGAATATTTCATATTGACAAGAGGGAACTATCAACCAAGAAGTAAAACGTCTGTGAATCTGTATGCACCTAACAACAATGCACCCAAATCCATAAAGCAAAAACATCAAGGCAGATTTAACATCTGTCTCCAAAATCTACAGCTTAAGCAGACAGACAAGCAAGCAGACCAGCTGACTGGGGGAGTGGACAGGTCAGGAAGAGACATTCCCCCTACCCCAGCCCTTCTTGACATCCTCAAACTCTACCTCCCCATCCTCCTCTGTTCCAACCTCTCAGACCCTGAGCAAAGTAACCATTCAGAGGACCCTCTCCTCACCGGATGCCTGGGAGGAGCTCCTGGAGTCTTGGCCACAGCTCTCATCAGGTGTTGGAGAAAATACCTCAGGGAAGAGTGCATTCCTCCTCTCCTCTGCCACTTCCCGCTCCCGGCGCAGGACACTCTCCACCTCCCTCTCCAGCAGATCAGATGACTGGGACCTCTGCAGCCTCAGTGCCGGGCCCCCAGGAACATCCCAGCCCCAGAAATGGAGGGCCTCGGCCTGCTGGGACATATCTGGAACCCTGAACCTCAGGGGGCGCAGGCGGAAGTACTCCCATCGCACCACACCCCTGTTGGCTTGCAGGGGTTCCTGGGGGGGCTTTGGGCACTCCTGCTTTGTGTTCAAGGGTTTTCCAGTAGATTCTGAGAGATGCCTCCAAGACCCTTTGGCCTTTGGAGAGGCTGGAGCCTTGACCTCCTCTTTGGAGACATTGCCAGGCTTGCTGTAGGCTCTTCCAAGGACTGAGAGCTCTAGTGGGGGGTTCCCAGGGTTCAGGTATGGCTGGTAGGCTTCAGGGGGGATGCGGTTCACCTTCCTCACCTCTGGAGCTGGGTCAGCTGCTCGGGCATCTGGGACTGGGCTCAGGGTGGCATCTGAGCTGTAGGCTCTCTGGCATCCAGGCTGGGGTTCCTCAGGGACCCAGTAAGGTGTGGAAGCCTGGCTCACCCTCAGGCTCACCTGCAGGCCCTCCCGCCGGTGGTCTTCCTCTCGCTGTGTCCCTTGCACCATATCCCGTTGCACGTAGAGAGATGGGCGCCCCCTGTTGCGCCGTGGAGCTGCAGTCAGGTTTGCTGTGGTCAGCAGTGGTCTGGCAGGAATCTCCACCAGCTCTTCATGGTCAGCTGCCCGTCGAAGCCCCCTCTGCTCACGTAGGTCTGCCTCGCGCTCCTGGGCCAATCGGATCTCTCGCTCAATGGGTGTCTCCTTGGGAGGCTCTGGGGAGTCCACTTGGGACCAGGAGCCAGGGTCATCCCCAGCTGGGGTGCTGGACCGTGTGAGGAAACCTTGGAACTTCTTCTCTTCCCTGACCACCTCCTTCATCTGTGGCTCACTGGGGATAACATATCCATTGGCCAGGGGTGATCTGTTCAAGGATCCCAGTGGGACACGTGTCGGGGGTGCCCTGGCCAGGGGTTGCTGGGGGCTCTCTTTGCTTGCCTGCTCCAGGTTCAGGAACTGCTGCCGCACTGCCAGGAAGTCGATCTGGCCCCTGTCAACCACATCTTCCTCCAGGTGTGGGCTGGGGGCCTTGAGGTCTCCATGGTCAGGGCTGCCCTGGAGTGTGGCTACTGTGCCGCTCTTCCTGACAGCCTGGCCCTGGATGACAGCCCAGCGTTCCCGCTCTAGGTCCTGTGGCCTCTTGGAGAGGGTGTCCTTGGCATCCAGGTGGTAAGCTTTGATCTCCTCATCCTCCTCATCCTCTGGGTAGAGTTCCCCTGGGGAGCGCTTAACGGGGTAGCCACGCACACTGTAGGATGCCTCTGTCCTTGATGCACTCAGCCAGGCCTCAGGGGCAGTGGACCATGCCTGCTGCTTATCCTGACCCCAGCTGCTTGCCTCAGGACCCACACTCACCAGCTGGAACGTGTAGCTGGTGTCTCCATCAAGCACCAGGCCAGTGACACGGGGTGAGTGGGGGACACCCAGAATGGGGTATCTGGTCACTCGGTCCATCGCCTCAGGGGGTAGAGAGACCTCCAGGTTCACTGAGGGAGGATAAGAAGGAAGAGATGACCCCAAGTCAGTGCACATGAGGAGAGAAATAATTTTCAGTCCCTCAAAGGCAAAAGTCCCAGCCACATGTACCAGCTTCTCCCTTTCCACCTTGTGATCATCCTGAGACTACTTCTGTGATTATTTTCATTCAGCCTTTTCAGATGGTCCTTTGCTGAGAAAGGACAAGTGAGGAAACTGAGGCCCTTGGGCTCCAGGCTTCCTAGAGAGGAGCAGTGACTAGCAGCAACCCATTTCCCAGCTCCCCCACCCTGGGCCTCTCTCTTGCACCTGCCCAGCAGGATGCCTTGTCCCATACTAGACAACATTCCCATCCCCACTACTGCATCATAAAGCCAGGATGGGCCTTGGACCTTGTCCCACTGGGCCTGGGGTGGGGCCATGGAGCCTATGGGCAACGCCCTGTCTTAGTGCTCCTGCCCTCTCCCAAGGGTTCAGGTTCCAGGCATCTATTTCTTTCTTTCTTTTTTTTTTTGAGACGGAGCCTCAAGCTATCCCCCTGGGTAGAGTGCCATGGCATCATGCTCACAGCAACCTCCAACTCCTGGGCTCAAGCGAGTCTCCTGCCTCAGCCTCCCAAGTAGCTGGGACTACAGGCGCCCGCCACAACGCCTGGCCATTTTTTTGGTTGCAGCCATCATTGTTGTTTGGCGGGCCCGGGCTGGGGATTCGAACCCGCCACCTTAGGTGTATGTGGCTGGCGCCTTAGCCGCTTGAGCCACAGGCACCGAGCCGTATTTCTTTCTTTCTTTTTTTTTTTTTCTGAGACAGAGTCTTACTTTGTTACCCTTGGTAGAGTGCCTTAGTGTCACAGCTCACAGCAACCTGAAATTCTTGGGCTTAAGTGATTCTCTTGCCTCAGCCTCCCAAGTTGCTGGGACTACAGGCACCCACCACACCACCTGGCTATTTTTTAGAAATGAGGTCTCGCTTTTGCTCAGGCTGGTCTCGAACTCATGAGCTCAGGCAATCCACCTGCCTCGGCCTCCCAGGATGCTAGGATTGTAGGCATAAGCCACTGCCCCTGGTCCTTCAGGCACCTTCTTTTTTTTTTTTTTCCAGTTTTTGGCTGGGGCTGGGCTTGAAACCTCCACCTCCGGCATATGGGGCTGTCCTTTGAGCCACAGGTGCTGCCCCCAGGCACCTTCTTGAAGTCTGCACCCCTGCTCCCACACTCCTTGTTTCCTGGCATCCACAAGGTGCAGTTTTCATGCCCAGCTAGGGTGCTCCAGGGCACCATCTGTTCTTGGCACAAAACCTCAAATGCTGCAAGTGCCTCCATTTCAAACCTGACTCTCTTTCTGTGTGCAGCTCTTAGCTTCAAAGCCCCCGTTTCTATTCCTCCACAGCTTCCTTCAATGTGGACTGTGGGACACCTCCTCTAGGGAGCCTGCTGGATTGTCCTTCCCTCTGAATCCATCACTGAGGTGTCATAAGGGTCAGGCCTGCACCAAGCACCCAAGTTTTAGGCATCCTTTGATGGCTGAACAAAAAAAGGCTCCCCTGAGGGCACAGGGACTTTGGAGCTCCCCAAACAGCCCTTGATGCTCCTGGTTGTACCAAAGCTGTCATTTAGATTCCCTGCCTTTACACCGACTGGCTTTTAAGAGCTCAATGTCATTCTAAAAAGGAAAACATTGCCCCTCCCTGAACAGAAAAGTGGCATCAAGCAACATAAAGTTAATCATGGAGAACAATGATATAACTGACACATGTTACGTGCCATGTAACCTTTTGTAGATACGGAATATCAAAAACTGCAATAAGGAAAACAACAGTGAAAAAACAAGCAGTCTTGGGGAATAAATCCCAGCCACACTTGGCTGAGCCTCAGTGCCAAGGGGCAATGAGCATATAACCTCTACCCCTCACCTCTCCTTTAACAGCCCCTCCTAGAAGTCCCCTTTAAGCTCTCCTTTACTTCCACCTGAAACCATTGCCCCAGGGAAGCATTCCTTCCCACAGCTTATGACCTGGTATACAGCAGGTACTCAATAAAGACTGGCTGAACAAACACCACTTTCTCCAAGTGCTCAGGCAGGGATGTCATTTCAAGTGGCAGATCTGTCCTGCTCTCCCACCCTAGTCCTGCCCTCTGGCCCTGCCCTGATTCCAAAGGGTTGAGCAAGTCTTGGCTCTGTCCCTATACTTTGGGTCTTCCTGGGGAGGGCAGGTGCAGTGTGACGGCAGAAGTGTTTGCCGAATGAGTGGATAGATGTTTAACCTAGCAGGAATTACAACCCACAGCAGTCAATAACTCCAGGGGAAAAGTGAAAGACAGGTTCAGGCTTTAGTGGGTGTAGGGTTCCTGATGGGGTGGGGTGTGGGTGGGGGCACCCCTTCCTGTTGGACTCATTCCTCCCTGGTGATTCACTGAAGCCAACGGGGTGGGTGGGGCTCCTGTCCCAGCTTTGGGTTCAAGGCCTCAGGACCCCTATCACCTGTGGCCTAAGCAAATTGCAGTTGGCCTCTACCTCATTTTTCCCTCAGACAGTACCCTGTTCCTGGTATACAACAGGCATTCAGCAAATGCTTTCACAATGGTCATGGTGTTTCCTGCCATCATCATTTAAACCCTGGATCCACCACCCATCTCAGGGTGATTCAAAGGCAGGTTTCTCTCTTGCAGAGCCTCTGGGTAGGGGAAAGTGTTATAGGGAGCAGAGAAACCCTGGGTAGGGAAACAAGGAAAATGATAGCGACATGATTTTAGCGCCTTCAACACCAAGCACCTCACAGGAGCCTGAGACAAGGGAACCACTTTTGCTCCTAGTTTACAGCAGAGGAAACTGAGGCCCAAAGAGGGGAAGCTGCTGATCCAAATTCACATAGTAATGACAGAGCAATAGGATCTGATGAGAAGCCTTACTGCCTCCTACAGGAAGCCCCCTGGACTGCTCTGCCCTGCCCTGCCCCACCCTCTACTTTGTCAGACTGAAACTGGATTTATGGTCCCTGGTGCTCCAAAACCACTTCCTCATCACACCACTGGCCTCCTGCCCAGAGCAAAGGCCCCCTGGAAGGGTTGGAGCTTGGACAGAGTGGGTCCTATAGCAGGGATCTGGGGTTCCCTGTCCCATTTCTTGGGCTCCAGGCTTCCTAGGCTCTGGCTTGGACAGAGTCTGCCATGCTTAAGAGTCACTCTGGCTCCATGAGTCCTAGCCTGAGTCCCTGCCCTGTCCCCCAACATCCATGCTGAGTCCCACCCTGACCACACAGGCTCCCAGGCTGACACCGCCCCCAGTATCCCAGGCAGAAGCTGCTCCCACCTGGACACAGCCTGCCCCTCCTCCATGTCCTAGGGGTGCAACCCAGATGCCTGGGGCAGGGTGTTAGTGCCCAGAGCCTCCCAAGCAGGGGTCTGGCTTGTACCCACAAGCATCTTCCTGGAAGCTCCTAAGATTTCCATGACCAGTTGGGCCTCTCTGCCTATGGGTGTGCCAACCAGGCCCAGGGTTCAGAGATTTGGGGGCCCCTGGGTGGAAAGTGAAGCCCTAGTAAGGTTTAGGGATGGGACCTCTGCTCCCCAGCAGGGGTGCCAGGTACAGATCTCAGGCCTCAGAGCAGTCTGGGTGCAGAGTGAAAGGAGACGCCTGTTAGCCCGAGACCCCAGCTGGGCCCTATGGGTAGGGTGGGGGGTGGGGGAGCGGAGGGGGTGGTTAGGGAGGGGGCCTGCATTCCCCTCAGGCGAGTAGATGAGGCCATAGCCTGCAGCCTCTTGCCAAAACATGAGCCAGCCTTGGAAGCTCCCACCCCACACAAGACCCCAGCCCAGTCCTAGTCTTGCCAGATATCATCTACACAGGACCCCAGCCCAACCCCTACTCCCCAGCCTCACTCACATTCCATCTCATGCAGGACCTCAGGCCAGCCCCAAACCCTAGCCTCATCTAGACCCCACCCTATGCAGGACCCCTGACACCCAGACCCTACCCAACCCAGGACCCCCAGCCTGGCCCCCAACTCCAGCTTCCCCAGGCCGAACCCTAGGACCTCCACCCAGCCCCAGCCTCTGGCCTCCCCAGACTCCACACCACAAAGACCCCTGGCTCCCAGTCTTACCTAGACACCACCCGTCGCAGGACTCCTGGCCTGGCTTCCAGACCTGGCCTTACCAGCTCCTGGCTCCCAGCAACACAGACCTCTGAAGCCTCCCAGCCTCGGCCCCAGTTCTCAATGGGCACAGAGGCCTCCCAGTTCTTCCCCGCCCACCAGGTTGCCAGGGCACAGAAGCCCCACCCAGGGGAAGCAGGTGTCCCCTTCCTCTCAGCCCCACCTGGCTCAAGAAACAAAGTCCAGGGGCAGAGGGAGAAAGATGACACCTGGGTTGGGCAGGGCCTAAACCAGGCCCCTGTGAGCTGCCCCTGGCCCAGGGCCTCCCTTAAGCCCTGTGGAGCCGAACTCCGCCTGAAACTTCCCCTACTGCTGCACCCTCCTGGCCCTCCCCCCACCTCCCTGTGCTGCTCAGAGAAGCATACCACTTGGCCAGGGTCACACAGCAGCTCTGGGGCCACAGCTGCCTGTTTCTCTAGCAGGGCAATGCACTATCTACCAAATCCCTGGGCCCCCTGGCCCAGCCCAGCCTTTGGGGCCACCCCGCTTCCTTGGATAGGCCAGACTCGTCAAGTTCTGAGGGTGTTCAGCTAGGCTTGGGGTTTTTTGTTTGTTTGTTTGTTTGTTTTTGAGACAGAGTCTCAAGCTGTTGCCCTGGATAGAGTGCTGTGGCACCTCTCACAGCAACCTCAAGCTCTAGGGCTCAAGTGATTCTTTTACCTCAGCCTCCCAAGTAGCTGGGACTACTAGGCTTGGGTTTGAATTCCCCTAACCTCTCTGAGCTTTGTTTACTCCTCCAGACAATGGGGACAGCACAGTAGTGGTTCCCTTTGCGTGGTTGGGAGAACTCCCCAGGTCCCTTCCATATAAAGGACTGAACCAGGCCATTACAAGGCCTCAGGGAGAGACGGGGACTGTGAAACACTAGGCATACACCTTTCCTCCCTGATTTTTTTTTTTTTTTTTTTTTTTTTTTGAGACAGAGCCTCAAGCTGTCCGCCTGGGCAGAGTGCCATGGCATTACAGCTCACAGCAACCTCCAACTCCTGGGCTCAAGCGAGTCTCCTGCCTCCGCCTCCCAAGTAGCTGGGACCACAGGCGTTCGCCACAACGCCCGGCTATTCCTGATTCTATTCTTGATCGAGTAGCAGAGAACCTGCCAGGACTGTGGGTTGCCTAGCACTTGTCGGAAGTCAGGCCACTAGACCCAGCACTGTCTACAGGGGCAGGAGACACAGCAGAGGTGACCTCAGGCTGGGGCTCTGCCCTGACTTGCCCCTTGGCTGGCTGTGGGATCCCCTGAACCTCAGACTCCTCTTCCAGAAAATGGGTCCCTAGCTCCAAATCCAGCAGGGCTATGTGGGGTGGGGAGATTAAGGACAGATATGGACAAGGGGCCCACCCCAGAATAATAGCTTGAGCACCTACACTCCTGGGATGCACAGCCTTCAAGTCCCTCCATCCCTGCTTTGCGGATATGGAAAGCACAGAACGGCCAGTATCAGGCTGGACTTTGAATCTGAGTTCCCTGTGCCATATGTACTCCACTACATTCACTATCTCATATGAGCAAACTGAGGTCCTCAAAGAGTGGAAATTGTATCACCCCATAGGCTAGGGGCATCTAGGAGGACAATTGTCCTGCCCCAGGCTGAGGCTTCCTCCCACTAGGGTTTTGAAAGCCTGTTTCACAGGTGGAAAATCAAGGGCCAGTGTGGGAAGCAGCTTCTCCAAGATCACATAGTGAGATGGAAGGGGTAGGAGAGCTCCCTGGGCATGAGGGCAGGCCCTATAGTGGCTTCCACCCTGCACCCTGTTTCTGATGGGCTGGTGTCTCTCAAGAACTTGGGTGGTATCTGTGGGGACTATTGTGCAATCCCTGAGACTGTGAGGTCAGCAGTGGGAGCCTTGATGCCAAGGACAGGGTTGAGCAAGTACAGAATCCCAGTGCCCCATGGGAAGCAGGAAGCAAGTCTTGCCATGAAGCAGCCACCCACTGTTCCTCTGGGCCTTACCTGTGCAGGTGCAGGCTGGGACTCCACCAATGTCTCCTGCCCCATGACCCTGGGATGAGGCCGAGGCATGAGCAGGTGCAGGAGAGGGGATGCCAGCTCATTAGACCCTGCTCAGCCTCCCTTTTTTTCTTTTTTGAGACAGAGTGTTACTATGTCGCCCTCAGTAGAGTGCTATAGTATCACAGCTCACAGCAACCTCAAACTCTTGGGCTTAAGTGCTTCTCTTGCCTCAGCCTCCTGTGCAGCTGAGACTAGGCGCCCGCCACAACGCCCGGCTATTTTTTTGTTGAAGTTCTCATTGTTTAGCTGGCCCAGCTTGGTTCAAACCCGCCAGCCTTTGTATATGTGGCCAGTGCCCTACTCACTGAGCTATGGGCCATCCACTCAGCCTCCCCTTTTATGGCTCAACTGGCCAGTGGGGCCCCACCACCAGCCCAGCACACCCTCCCCATCCAGGGAAAGCCAAGAACTCCGGGATCTGGGGCTGTTCACGCTGTTTATTTGCTTCTCTGGGAAAAAGTCAAGAACATCAGGGGCCTTGTCACACATCAAAAGCAGAAAGGGGGCGGCAAGGGCACTTCAGCAAAGGCTCACGGCTCAAGGGACTCAGGCAGACTCCAGGGAGGAAAAGGAGGGACTCCAAGTCACCCCCCAGAGAGGGCCTCTTCTCCCAGCCACCCAGGGGCAGAGCTGAGACTGGGACTCAGACTCCTTTCTGAGGTGGCCCCTACACCCACCCAACTGAGGCTGCAGGTGGTCACTGGACCCAGAGGTGGCCTGGCACTGGGAACCAGGCTGGAGGCCCCTGGAAAAGGGGCCAAGATGGGTGTGGTCCAAAACCAACACATGAGAAGAGGGTATCTGTGAGAATGTGCCTCCGGGAACAAGTGTGACTGCCCCCAGGAGGGGAACCCCTTGTCACTTCCAGTAATAGGGTGTTGGGGCTGGCTCACACTGGGCCGGGGCAGGCTCATATTGGGCTGAGGGACACAGGCTCACATTGGGCTGGGTTGGGCCCCTGCTGCAACCCAGGGGGAGCCTTCCTGTCCCAGGCTGCATCTCTCCCTCCACTACCCAAATATGCTGCAAGCTCAGCAGAACTGGAAGGTGGGGCCTGAGCTCTGGGGTGTGCCTGGGAAGACCCAGGACCCTGGTCCAAGTGAGTTGGAGAAGAGGCCAGAGGTGGCCCCCGGGGTCCCCAAATTAGCACCAGGAGGAAGGAGGGCCCAGTGGGGTTGGGAGCTCAGGAGAAGTGGCTCACCTGGTCCCATGACCCCCGGATCGCCCGTCTAGAAGACAGCCAAGAGGCTATGACCCCTCCCGAGGTGGGGGCATATCTCCAGGACTCCCCTCCTGCAGACTCCTTTGACCACTAGCTGGGCCCATAGAGGATGTGGGGGGCACATTAGGCTTGGACCTTAACCCCCAAAAGAGGCACGGCCTCACCCCAACTTCCCAAGATTGGGGGGCCAGCGCCTTTGCCGGGGAACCCCAAGGAGCCCAACTTCCAGGGTCTAAGCAGGCCCCAGCTCCCAGGTCCCTCTCCGGCATGGTGTCCCCTCAGAGACCTCACTCATCAGAGGTGGCAGAAAGGCACAGGCAGGAGGCCCAGAGGGTGGTGGGCTGGCCTGGGCCTGCACAGAGGCCACAGGTCACGCCCACCAGGACCACACTGGACATGAACCCCGCATCTGTGAAGCTGCCATGATAGGAGGGTGGGGCGGGTCCTCATTTCAGGAAAAGCGGGTCTGTCCGTGTCTCTCTCAGACCAGGTGCAGGTGCACGGCTCTGGCTGGGGTCAGTGTGGGGGCATGGTGATGGGTGGGGCCCCGTCCCTCTTTCTAAGAAACCTCAGAAGGAACATGTGACAACACGGCAAGTCCTGGGGCCCGTGAGGCTGTAGGTGGAGGATGGGCAGGCACCGGGAGGGGCCGGGCTGGTGGGTCTGTGGTATGGGGCAGGGGCTAGGGTCTTAGGGGCCGGGCTGGCTCACATGATCAAGCAGCATTTACAACGCTGCTTTTTCATGTCGAGGTCCTGGGGGTCGCTGGTGGTGGCCTCAGGCCCCGCCTGATTCTCTTCCCGGGAGCCCACAGTAGCTGGGGGCTCAGCAGCACTGCCATTGGGTGGTGCAGGCTCCTTGGGCTCAGCTGCGTCCTCGATGACCACCAGCTCTGCTGTGATAGTATCTTGAAGCCCCAGTACCTTCTTGGTCTCGGCCTCATCCTCCACGTTCTGGTAGCCCATGAAGATCATTGTGACTGGTGGCTCCTGGCCCGGCTGGATGCCAGGTGGGCCTGACGTGGCCTCACCTGGCTGTGCCTGCACTCCTGTGATCTCCCTTCGGGAAGGTGTGGTCCGCACAGCCTCCTCCACAGCCCCCCGGGTCTCTGCTGTCCCAGCCGTGGACCCTGCCTCGCTCAGTGTGACCTCGTCTGCTTTGTGGATGAGTTCATCCACCTCTGAGGAACTCAATGGGTGGATCCCATTCTCGGCGGTACCATCCACGGCATGGACCACTGCATAAGGAGAGACAGGGAGGATGAGCTGGTTCCCAGACAGGAGAGAAGCCTAGGTAAGGCTCATTCTCAAGGTTAAAGAAGAAACCACAAACTGGATTACACATGTAGGACTGATTGACAATTAAAGCTCCCTATTAGGATCTACAGATGTAGCCAAAGCTGTATACAGAAGAAAATTTGTAGGCACAAAAAGCATTTACTAGGAATCAAGAAAAACTGGAAATAAATGAATTGGGATTTTATTGTCATTCCTTTTGAAGTACAGTTGACCTCTGAACAAGGGTTTGAACTGCACAGGTCCTCTTACATGCAGATTTTCTTCCACTTCTGTCACTGCTGAGACAGCAACACCAACCCCCCCCCTCAACTTACTCCTCCTCAGCCTGTTCATTGTAAAGATGATGATGACAAAGACTTTTATGACAATCCCCTTCCACTTATTTATTTTTCTGAGACAGAGCCTCATTTTGTCATTCTTGGTAGAGTGCTGTAGCGTCACAGCTCACAGCAACCTCAAACTCTCAGGCTCAAGTGATCCTCTTGCCTCAGCCTTCCAAGTAGCTGGGATTACAGATGCCTGCCATAACAACCAGCTATTTTTAGAGATGGGGTCACTCTCGGTAGAGTGCTTTGGTGTCACAGCTCATAGCAGCCTCAAACTCTTGGGCTCAAGCAATCCACCTGCCTCTGCCTCCCAGAGTGGTAGGATTACAGGTGTGAACCACTGTCCCTGGCCTAATCCCCTTCCACTTAATGAATAGTAAATATAGTTTCTCTCTTTTTTTTTAAGAGACAGAGTCTCACTTTGTCACCCTCAGTAGAGTGCTGTGGTATCACAGCTCACAGCAACCTCTAGCTCTTGGGCTCAGGCAATTCTCTTGCCTCAGCCCGCTGAGTAGCTGGGACTACAGGTGCCGACCACAACACCTGGCTATTTTTTGTTGCAGTTTGGCCAGGGCCAAGTTCAAACCTGCCACCCTTGGTATATGGGGCTGGCGCCCTACTCACTGAGCCACAGGCACTGCCCTCTTTTCTTTTTCTTAATAAAATTGTCTCATCTCTAGCTTACTTTATTGTAAAAATATAGTATATAATACACATAACATACAAAATATGTGTTCATCAACTGCTTATGTTACTGATAAGAGTACTGGTCCCTATTAAAGAAATGAGTATAATTGTGATAGATGTGTTACTTGTTCAATGTAAACATTTCACACTGTATACCAAGCAGTACCCTGAACCTCATAAATGCATCAATGTACAAAGTTATGATTTAATAAAAAATAATTAAAACCAAAAAAGACTACTGGTCAATAGCAGGTTATTAGTTAAGTTTGGGGGAGTCAAAATTCATATGTGGATTTCTGACTGCATGAGGCTCAGTCCCCCTAACCCATGCATTGTCCAAATACCAACTGTATTTGTATATTCTTTTTTTTTTGAGACAGAGCCTCAAGCTGTCCCCCTGGGTAGAGTGCCGTGGCATTACAGCTCACAGCAACCTC